TCGCCCTTCCCTTGCGCCCCAGACGGGCCCTGTGGGAGGGGAGGGGAGGGGAGGCGGTAATCGCCGTCAAGAGGTGGCCGGGGGCAGCTCGGGGTGCCGGAGCCGCTTGCACCAGGCTGCCTGCCGCGCGCTGGCACCGGGGAGGTGGTCTGCACGGGTCCCGGCGAACAGCATCTCGTTTTGATGAAAGCATTTAACTGGAAGTGCCCGCCAAGGTGCGGAGGCTTTGCGCCCGGGTTACGGGCACGGGAGTCTCCTCCCCGGGGCCGCGCGGCTGCGGGCGAACATCCGAACCCCGCGCCTGTGGGCTTGGGCCTTCCCGTAGGACGCCCGGCAGAGGTGTTGGAAACATGTGAGCCCCGGTGCGGGTGGAGGATGTTTGCTGGTCGGAGGGCCGCTTATCGTTCTGGACTCCCTCTCGCATTTGGAATTAGTTTTGGTTAATTTGGCCTCGGATACACTTTCTATAATTTGTAACTGGGACTCGATACGCTTGCTAGCTCATCAAGGGTAGTAAGTAGTTTGCGGTGGTGAGGGGTGGAGGCAAAGCCCGTGGCATGTTGCCACCCTAAATTCCCAGCCCAGGGTATCCAGGGGTGAACGATTGTTGCTCTCGAGTGCCTTCCCTCCCACGGCTCCGAGCTTGCCAAGCGGCGGTGATAAACCAAGGAGGTTAAGCTGCCGCTGCTCAAAATGCTGTGTGTGGCAGTGAAACTATTGAATTTCCCCCTCCTACTAATGGGGGGCAAGCAGTGGAGGGAAAAGCTGAAGCCTTTTGAGGTATATGGCTCTGCTCCCATGTCCATGGAAAGAAATGAAGAGCTGCCTGGACCTTAAGTGGTGACTTTTAAATGCAATGTCCCTCAGGAGATTTGGATCCTACTTGCAGCTGCCAAAGGTTATCCAGGAAAAACACCTCATGGGAAGTGTACTTTTTTTTTTTCTCTTTGTGCCTCCTGCTTGTGGGGGACATTTTTTGTTGGCTTTATCCAAAAAAATGTTGGTGAGGCCCGGTGTCTTATAGCTCTCGCTAGCGACCTTTCCATGTCTCCACTTTCAATGTACATCCAGGCGTGTGGTCTCCTCTTTGCAGCCTGCCCTATCTGTTTTAATACAGCTGCCTTCGATCTAGCTGCAGCTCCTGGTCAAATGTCTAATGGGGCATATGAGCTAAAGTTGGGCAACATGGAAACTGCGTTGTGGGCTTTGAACTTCTCTTGGTTGATCTGACAATGCTAAGGCTAGCCAGAAAATTGGCTTACCAAGCAACTTTAGTTTGCTTAAGTCAGAGCAGTTTGAATTAATCCTTTTCCTGTTTCATCCCTTGTGCCCTTGAATACCCCAGAATAGTTCTCTTTATGCAGTGCTGAACTAAGTGTTTTGGAAACAGGGATTGATTGTGATCAACTTCTGTAAATTCAGGGGCATTTTGTTCTTGGACTCCTCCTAGAGCAAGCCTGGTTACATCTGTTTCTTAGAGGCTTTATTTGGCTCAGTGCTAACATTCAGGAGCTTTTGTCACTAAGTCATAATTCAAACTCCTCTTATGGACCACCAAATGATTTGACAGTGAACATAGGCCTGATGAGGTGATCACCAGTGTAAAGAAGTCATGTATGTTGTGGGGAAAGCGACTGCTGAAATGGCTGTGGGCTGCCTCAGGGGTAGGTGTAGTTTCAGCTTCAAGAGCCATGGTGTGAGGCCCACCAGAGTCCCTCTATGCTCATCTACTCTGTCTCCCTGATGGCTGCTGTGAACTGGGCTGAACCCACCAATTTCACAGAGGACCTGTCCAAGGCCAGCAGATGGGATTGCTTTTAGTTACTGCAGACCGGGGCACTGGGATAACTTCTTGGCATTGTGTCTATTTGCTGAGTTTGGGATACGGTCTGGCTGCTAGGGAAGAAGTCATGCAAGCACATGGTTACTTAAGTCCTGGGTTTGGTCTGGCCTTGACAACCAGCTAACTGTGTTCCTGTTGTGGAGATGCTGCTAAGCGTCTGTATAGCTGTGTGGGGGTGGTTGTGCCCATCTTGGACAGGATGACTGCCCCACCCCCTGTGCAAAGGGTTACATGTTTTCTGTTAATGCTGCATTGATCTGATAGGGCTCTTAGTAGCTGGATGGTGACAAGTGAACCTTCATTGTAGTGTTGAGGGCAATACAGGAACTCTGTATCCTCCAAGATGAGGACCAGAATCAAGGGGACGTGCACGGTCTTGGACTACTACTTCAGAGGTGTAGTGGGAATGCAACACTGCTACACTACTTTCTTTGTTGGGCTTAGCTGGGTTTCAGCAGAGCTGCCATCTTTCCTGAGGAGAGGCGTTCTTGGAGAAGCCCATGTGGAAGAGGACATGTTACTGTGTGCTTTGTGGGAGGCCACAATGGCTTTCCCAACATGGTGCTACAAGCCCAGCACCAACACAGTGTTTCTTAGGCATTGCCCTTCTTTCTCTAGGACTGAGAGAGAAACCTCTTCTGCCAGGCTTGGTATCTGTAGCTGTAGAGAGATTCCTTATAACCCCTGCCTAGGCAGGAAACCAAGGCATAGCTTCTACCAAAAGTAGAAGCATATTGAAAGGGGCTCTCTAGAGAGGTGGTAGGAATAACTAATAAATTCAATGTTATGTTTCTTCCAGCCTGGTAATGGTTGGGCATTATTTGCTGCTGGGTTGCAGGCAGGTCAAAGTACCTTAAAGGCACACATTGCTACTGATACCTTAACCTGTTTTTTTTTTTTTCTCCTGGGAGGGCCA